TTTCATTTTTCAATCAAGCGTCGCCAAGCAAAGCTAGCCTTCCCTGTTCCTCTCGAGCCAAACGCCTTGGTTAAAGCCTCATGCCATCCACAATAAGAACCCCGCTCGTGTTGTACACCACACTATACGCCATGACCATCCTCCTCGCCAGTTCTGCCTCGGCACATCACGAGTTAACCAAGGAGATGGCGGAATCGCCACGATCACCCGACTCAACGGAGAAAGCTGTTACTGTGACGCGCTTCTTGAGAGATGGTGGCACCAATGACGATGACATCGCGCACAACGAAGGGAGAGGATTCCTGAGCGACAAATTCGCCACGATAGCAATCAAGTCCGGCATGAAGATCGCATTGAAGAGCAACAAAGCTCCACGACACGTACTTGAGCATCTAGTGAACACGGGTAATCTGTTGACAGAGAAGAACCTCTTCCTGTGGCTGAAGTACGTGGTAAACTATAGGAAGAAGATGGGATCTATCTGGGCGGATGATGTGTATGTTTTCAAAACCTTGTCCGACTTCTTGCCAGCGGAAAAATTGCCGGCACTTTTCAAAGCAATGGAGAAGAACCCGAACTTTAGGGAGCTCGGGAAAAATTTGCAGAAGTTAATGTAGGAATACTTCTGCAGTGTTTGGCGAGTTGGTGAGGACGAATATCAAGCCAATGCTGCGTTTCTAACTTTGTTAGTACACGTGGTTTTCTTTCATGTTATGTTTTTTTTTTTTTTTTTTTTTGCTTATTCTCTGAAATTTGTATGTCAACCCAAACGTCTTGGTTAAGGTATCTATGTCATCCACTCGATATCTGTTGAGGTCGCGATTCGGCCGTTCTGAACTGGATGGCGATTCACCAATAGAGGCGACTCATTAAAAAAAGGCTAAAATAAAATAAAGCTAATACTATTGTTACTTTAATTGCTCTGGTCGAAGCACTTCCAGCGTAAAAAGTAAACGAATAGTTTAGAAAAATGCTTGTAAGATGCAGATTCTAATCGAATTCTCTCTTCGTGCATGATGTACCCTCCCGCTACAGCTTTCTCGCTGCCACGCGACCCGACAATCCCATTAAAGGGGTGACCTGATCCTTGGATCACAATGGTTGCTGTGAGGAACAAAATCGAAAATTAAAGATCTATTGACCAATTACAGGCTGCGTTTCGGGTCGCGATCCGGAGTTTTTGCCGCGTCCAACCCTAAGACGTACCTTCTGTTAACCGCCTAGGCTTCTCTCAGGTTGCGCACCACAGAAACAACTTTCTCCATTGAGTCGGTGATCGTGCCGATTCAGCCATCTCCTTAGTTAATTCAAGATGTGCCAGGCAGATCTGGCCTAGTGCTTCTTACTCTTAAGCAACTTTTGCTAACTTCTGAGTAAGGCCTACCTTTTCCTAACTTCTGAGTACGGTGCAGACCCCGTTTCTACTTCAAAGTACTTCTTATCTTTTTTTAAAAAATATTTAAATTTTATATAGTTCTTAACCCTTTCGTGGTCAATGGGGATATTTTGCCCCCTTTGGAGGGCGTATCCTTGATACCACTCGTGTCACCCACGAATGGGGGCAAAATGCCTCCTTTCATTATTTTTTTGTGTGGACGAGGCGGATTCGCCCTTTCTACTTGTACTACAAGGATTTGCAGAAGATTTATCGTAGTATCGTAGTTTATGAAAGGGGGTAAAATGCCCTCTTTGATGGCCTAATGAGCTGACCTTCTATACTATCATATAGCCGTGTCAAAAGTACCCGTTCACGAAAGGGTTACATTAAAAAAAAAAAACAATTTTAAAAAATAATAACGACATGATGAGGGATCTATTTTAGTCATGCTTTCGTCGGAACCTGACTCCGCTAAGTGCATTGTTGAAAACTTGCTTTACTCGAATAAAGGTGGCGATCGTCTAGGAGAACCAGGGTACATATAAACCAAACAACTTCTCCTTTATTGACTTGAGTCTTTGGGGCTCATACATACTTTGTTGTAAGTGTTGGAATACATGTACAAGGTTCAAGCCCCTGGCCCATAGTGAAGTTCAATACCTAGCCCGGATGAGAAGGGAGCTGGGACGAGGTAAACCAGATCGTAGGTAGCTTGAAACCCGTAGTGCTAGGGAGAGCTCGAAGAGCCCTACTAGTGCTCTGACAAATGTAGCCTTCATTTTACCTTCTAGTCCAGAAGTGGTCTGAATCCGATTCCCAACAGTAAGAGGACTACCGTCCTGCAGCTCGAGTACTCTCGAAAGTGCGATTGCTGGCGCAAGACGATGTGTATGCACAGCCAAAGCACCAGGATGTGTACACCACGGAGATAGGTCAGAACGGGGTGATGTGTTTGTTTGGTGGGTTCAGCTCTCCCATGGCCACGTGGTTCGTCTGAAATACCGAGAGCTTGGTGGCATCAATGACAATGACATCGCGCACAACGAAGCAGCTCCCGATTATGTCATGGTAAAACAATAAATTTAGTAATTTGTTATTACTTAGATACGACAGCCACTGCTGACAAAGCCCAGCAATAATTGTGTTTGAGAAATAAATTCAAAACTCTAGAAAATTCAATACAACTTTAAGTTAACCCGTCCATACTAGCTGCTTTACAATGCGGGAAACATCCCCGGCTATGAGGCTGAATTGTATATACATCACAAGGATAAATAATCTTTGTTTTATAAAGGCGGTTACTTTTGCAAATCTATATGCATATCTAAGATAAACGCTTCGAACAAGAAAAAATGCCCTAGTGTTCTTTGTGTTGTGGTTTGGGGTTAGAGTACCACTCCAAATTTTTCGATTTTTAGTAGATGATCTAACAGGTTTGATACATTCATTGAGATAAAACAATCTTCTTTGAAAGGAACGTTTCGCGCCAGTCAATTCTAGCCAGTGTGTTGAGATTTTGCGGTGTAGAAGAAAAGCGATGGTTGGAGCGCGAGGAAGTGCACCATCGCGCGAAGATGTGTCTGGTGAGGACACCAAGAACTTCAAATTGGTGTTGGCGGAATTGGTCTTGGAAAAGAGTATTCAAGCAGCCCTAAAACAAGCGGAACCAACTGAAACATGGCTCAGGACCGAGAGCAGGGAAGCAGAGGTACCAATCCATTATAGACAGCCAAATAACAGCAGGGATACGGAAGAATCACAATGCTCCAGCCTGTTGCGACGCTTTTTTGTAGTTCAGTGGGGAAAACCCAAGCTCAGCACACTCCAACCATGTAAACAACTAGCCACGGAGAAGAGAAACCACTCGTGCAATCTCCAGAGCCAGGAAGTCAAATCACAGCCAACGAAATCCTCATGGTATCGCCTTGTCCAAGATGCTAACCAAGCTAATCAAGATCGCAAAGATCAATCATCACCGAGACAGACGGATATAAAAACTCGTCTAATTGCATACCAGGCTTACAACAAACATAAAAAATACTCAAATAGAAGGCCACAATTTCTCTCTCGCGGTATTCAAAGCCGCCGGATGGACATCCAAGCCACCTCCATGTGGCGTCGTCACACATTGAAAGTATGTAATAATAGGTCGGGATTCCAACGGCGTTGAAGGCGTCGACTATGCCGTTGATAAGCAACCTGTGCTTTAATATGCTGTAAATGGTAAGTACTACTGTATTTTTGTGTTTTTTTTTTCCTATTGTTAACAAGGCATCGGGAACAGACAGTGCAGACGTTCCATATTGCCCAAGAAGCACTCGCAGCAGCAGGGAATGGTGCTGCCACTATCACAGTCTCAACGTGCCTCTACTCAAGCGCCTTCGACCACCAAGCCGTCAGCTCGCAAGACAAAGCTTCACCAGGAAGGCAAAGTTTTCGTCGGTGCCCAAGGCCGCGCCTAAGGTGTCGTCCAATGCCGCGACCAAGGCGTCGTCCAAGGTGTCACCGAAGCCACGGTCAATCGTCAACCCGCGGCTCGCGTCCAAGACACCACCATCGGAGTCGTCGTCTCCCGCGCAAGCGATTACAGAGGTCTTTTCTACAAAATCAGGTTGTGATTGTTTACTAAGCTGTATTATATGTTTGCTGGATACCACACTTTGGTATACTAAACAATACAGACTCTGGGGCCCGCGACGTTATGGTCCGTACACCATCATAGCCGAAGAAGGCTGATACTCAAGAATCCATGGATCGTGTTGGCCTTGACGATGAATCCAAAGTAGAAACTTCTTATGTCTATGTATCAACCGGTACGTTGCAGATGCAATGCTGTATATACATGATACAAATTATGGTTAACGTCTATTATTTGCTGTATACTACGCTGTATCAGATCTACAATGATACTGACTCAATGGCATTCGACAGCGTTGACGAATACGATGACGAGCTGTACGCAAAGGAAGAACCCTACTTTGCTGATCATTTTCTGGATTCCATGTGAGGAGAGGAGAAGGTGGTTGGCCAAGTTCTATGCCCAGCATTGAAAGACATCGCGACTACTGGTTGGTATGAACCAGAGACTCCTGACGTACTGAAGTATTTGGACAAGCCGTACGCTGCAATGAGCGATTCAGACGAGTATCCGAATCTCTGGCAAGGACCTAATGGACCAACGAAAAGGCGCTAAAGTGGGAGCCTCTCCCATATCCTCTATTCGTGTTCATGTCATGTGGCTTAGTGGCAGCACGTCACTGAGTGCAGCAATTTCTACATGCACGAGCAGCTGGACTACCACGTCCATGCCTATCTCGAGAAGAAGAATCAGAAGGGCATGAAGGTCAAGGCAGCTGGAAGACCGGTCGCTACTACAAAAAACAAGACTGTTGGAGACATGCGCCAAGATTTCGTGTCTGTGAAGCCTATAATACCGCGCGAGATGTGTGTTTACATTGGCTTGCTGGTTGCTAGAACAATCATGCCTATTTGGGAGAAGCTCGCAAATCATTGGCCTCAGGACGACGTAGAAGCCATTTCTCGTACATGGTGCGCGACCGCTTCATGGAGATAAGCAGAAACCTCAATTCGACAACAATCGACCCACGTGCCAAATGTGATCGTGCTTGGAAATTCCGCTCGATAGTCAATGTTTTACAAACGACATTAGCTAGCGCGTTCATTCCACCACCAGAGCTATCGTCTGACGAAGCCATGCTTTCGTCGAGATCATCGTACAATCCTACTCGAATGTATATGACAGATAAGTTCCATAAGTGGGGCACCACGTCAACTATGCTTTGCTGTGCACGCTCCGCATAATGATTTCGGTAAGAGTGCTGATGTCGTTATTCTGTACTAGCTGGATTGACTTACGCGTTTAGCTATGTTGCTAGTTTTGAAGTCTACTGTAGTTAAAAAGCAGCATGTTGCTGAGCCTGGAACGGTTGATATGAAGCCTAGTCCTGCTGCTGTTGTACGCAATTTGGGTGCTGTACTGACAGTTCTCCTAGCCCGAAAATGAGACTTGTATAGGTTGACTGCATCTACGTTCTGAACTGGATGGCGATTCACCAATAGAGGCGACTCAATAAAAAAAAAGGCTAAAACTAAAATAAAGCTAATACTATTGTTACTTTAATTG